CCCTCAGCATAACCCCAGTTTGATTTACCTGCTTTCGGAGAAGTGGGAACCAAATCACTAACCTGTTTTCTTTCTTTCATGGTCCCTGTGTCTCCTCTCAGAAGAAGACAGCCTGTCTCCTAGGACAAAGAACCTCCTGCAAGGCAGTTTCCCCTCCTGCTCAAGGGGGAAAACACCAAACAACAACATGCAGGGTAAAGTCCCTCAACAATCAGGGGGATTCTGGGCCATCAGAGTTTCTCAGCAGCAGACTCAGGACCCCAGGCCAGGGCTAATTCCTGTGGTTCCCCTCTTGGTGACACAGCCATCTCCTCACCAGCCAGGAAACCAACTGGCTTCCACCCAGTACCCCAAGGATCCCCATGTCCTACCTGCTGTGGCAGAACAGAAATTCTTGTGGGAGGCAACAAGCCATTTGGGAGAAGTGACATGTTGTATTTGTGCTTCCAGGCACAGCTCACACTGACAAGGAGCTCGTGTCCTCCCTGATGCAAAGAATCACTCTGTTGGAACAAAAAATAGAGAAACAAGCACAAGAAATCAAACTGAAGGTAAAAATGCTGCCCCTTCCTGAGCCTGGTCTGTGCCCTGCTTTGATGGTTGAAGTCACAGCAGCATCACACCTGCTCAGACCTAGTTTGGGCTAAAAGAAGTTAATCTGCCTCTCTGTTAATTACACAAACAAGCCTTTGCAAAGCCAGAGAGCAATTGTAGCAGTCCCTGGGGTGGGAGAGGGGACAGCCCCTGCTGTGACTTCTGAAAGTAGCCTTGCACAGGTATCATTAGCTGTTTGGCTTCAGACCTTTCTCTTCTTCCTTTTGCTTTCTGGAACAGCAGCTGCTCACACAGCAGAGTCACCCTGGAGTGGAGCTTTTTGCATCTCTGCAGCTGAGAAGAAATACCCTTTTCTTTTTTTAGAGAGGTGGCTGCAAAGCTGCTGGGTTTGTTTCCATATCAGCCACTTACTGCAGGTCAGGGGATGAGCTGTGCCTGGGCAAGAAGCACAGGAGCAGGAAATACCTGCTGTGTGTTTGCCTTCAGCTCTTGTGCAGATGGAGGAGGGGGAGACAGGTCAGCATGTCCCTCACCCACTCTTGGAGCACTGTATTTATATCCCACCCCTCATTTCAGCCTTTCTGACCCTGTGTGGGGTGAGGGTTCATGCACCTCTAGCTCACTCAGGTCACTAATGATGCAAGTGGTGCCTCAAGGCCCTCAAAGCCAAGGAACTAAACATGGTCATTATTTGTTCTGCTCCTGAAGGACAGGAGGATTGCTGAGCTTGAAGAGAAGATGAAGACTCTTCAGAAAGGAGAAGGTAAAACTTGTCCTACCCTTGACATCTTGTTCCTACCTTTGGGAGAGATACAGAGCTGCTGGTGCTGCAAGAGGGCAGGGTTGGAGACCTCCTCCCTGAGCCATCCTTGTCTTCAAAGAGGTTCCTTGGGAGTGGTATCAGTTACACACACGTGGTGATGGTGGCTGAAGCAGATGCAGACTTTTTCCTTGCAGCTTTTCTGCTGCAGTGCAAAACATTTCCTGACCTATTTTCTATGAGTTACTAAGTTTCCATGAGCATAAACCAACCACAGATACCTGAGGATGGTCAGAAAGAAGAATGTAAATACTGCAGAGTTCAAACACCTGGAAAAACAGCTACTGACAGCTCAGCAAAGCCAAAAATCTCCTTGGAGTTTTGAACAGCATTACAGGTCCAAGCTCACTTGTCCTGTAAGGCAGCCCAACTCCAAATTGGAACCAGCTTTGAGTGAGTCTCTGAAGGTCTTTTCCCCCCATTTAGTTCCTTGGAATCCAGCAGCTCTTCAGCTGAGCCCAGACATGTTTTCTGCAACGGCTGAGCTACCTTGTTAGCACAAAGCTGCTCTACTTCCTGAGCAGAGAACAAGGTCATGATGCTTGTCAAACCACACACGTTTTTTATCTCATCATGCATTGTTCTAGTCATTCAGCTTAGCTTTCTGGATCCAGCTTTGGTGGACACCTGCTCATTTTTTTTAATAGGTCCCTTAAGACTGAGTAAGCCAAGCAATTCTCATTGTGTAATTGCAAACAGCACTGCTCAAGTCAGCTTCCCACAGCATTAAACTTCACAACTACCTTTTAGTTTGTCAGCATCTCTGTCCTACTGCTGCAGGGTGAACTATCCAGCACGCAGAGCTCATGCTCAGCTTCTGTGTTGTAGGGCCTGGAGTTAAATTATGGGATAGACAGGATCTGCTGGGGCATCCCTGCTGCACAACGTGGGTGATCTAGAGATCTTCTTTAAGGCTGTACACAGAAAAAGCAAGTCTTGCCTTTCAGATGCTCCTGACTCATCCGCAGTAGAGGAACTGGAAATGAGGTGCCTTGAGCTGCAGACCCAGGTCTGGGAGATGGAGGTGAGAGACCTGCTTCACTTGCCTTGAGCCACCTGCACCTCTGGTTTGAGATCTTTGCCATCCCCAGCTGATTGGTCTGTTTCAAGCTGCCACTTTGATCATCCCCATTCCTCTCCTCATCCTTCTGAAAAGAAAGAACAGGTTGGATGTGAGCTAGAGGGCAGTAGGAGGTTTTTAATACACAAAAGATTTTGTGCCTCCTGCAAGCCTCTTTGTTGTGATTTCTAGGACTGTAGAAACAGTCTTTGTAGCTACTGCAGTCCTGGAAAACTCCTGTGTCACTACAGATACTGTCATTCTCCCTTCTGCCTACTACTAGAAGAGCTGCTCCTACTACCCTGCCTGTGTCTCTGTTTGCCAGGGCGAAAGAGCCCCAGAAACACATCTTTTACCTCCTCTTCTGCTTCTCACAGTCACAGCTGACCACTCCCAGGCTTCCATTCCTAGCTTTGTGAAGCTCTTTACAACACTGACTTGTCCTTTCCTCTTGCAGAGGTTTCTAAATGACTATGGTCTGATTTGGGTTGGAGAGGGACATGATCAGCTGGAAGATTCTGAATCACTCAAGGATGAAGAGCTGACAAGAAGCCTCTGGAAGCCAGGTAAAGCACCAGCACCCTCTGCTGAGGCAGCTATCCCAGCTCCTGCTGCATGCTTAGAGCAGCTGTGATACTCCCCAGAGCAGATAAGCACCAAAGAGCCACAATCTGGTCTTCAAGGATCCTCTGCTGAGGTCCTCACACCCATCCATCTCAGGGACAGAGACACAGAGCAGTTTAAGAGAAGCTAAGCCAGGCAGAACACTGGTATTTTATACACCTCTATTTTGTAATCCCTGTCCAGAGGAAGAGGAAAGAATCCAAAGGCTCAGCCATTTGGAAGGAGACCCTCAGCAGCTGCTTCCTGAAGAGCTCACATACCCTAAACATTTGAAGCTCAACTGCTCTCACAACATTGACATAAAATAGGTGGAAAACGGAATCAGATGCTTTGTGTATCTTGTAGCTGCAGTAACTTAGCCATGTTGTCTGGCTCCACCAGGGAGTATTGTTTGTTTGCCTTTCCTCCCAACCACCACGTGAGGTTTAATTGAGACCTGATCGTGATGTGTGACGTCCAAGCATATTTGGCAATGGCTTTTAGGAAGTGGTAGCAGGAGAAAAAAAGGAAGAATACTTGGGCTGTACAGCCAGTGCTGTTCCCAACCACCATGAAAATACTGCCTTGCTAATCCTTTGCTTCCTTAGATGCAGTAGGGGAGAAGACAGGGAAAGCAGTGGAAATGTTGATCATTGTTTTCAGCTCACTCACCTTTTTTAAGAGCATTTCCCCCCTCTTTTACCAACTTGTAAAAAAGCAGAACAGAAAATATCAAAGGCTGAACCTCCACCTACATCTCTTCTTTCATTTCCTCTTCTGATTTCATCCTTCTGCCCCACCACAACTTTTACTGCTTCACTTCACCACCCTCCTCAAGCACCCAGGTAAACATCCTCTGCAGTGTCCCAGCAAGAGCATGCTGAGCACCTGGCTGTACCTACACTGGCATCTCTTCAACAAGTCTGCACTGATCCATTTATCCAACCAATTTAATCCAACTAGTTAAGTTCCTCCTTTTGTGCATTTTACAGCAGCACAGTGACAATGCTTCTGAAATGACAACCACAGAGAAGGAGCAGGCTGGAGCTGGCAGCAGGGCTGTGTGAGCTGGTTGCCCTGCAGCCCTGCCCTTGTGCTCACACCCATGAACCTGGCCCTGCTGCACCACAGCAGCCTCGCAGCCTGCTGTGTGAAAGGTGAAGTGTGGAGAGGCAGCACAGCCCAAAAATCACAGAATTATACAATCACTAAGGTTGGGAAAGACCTGTAAGATCATCCAGTCCAACCTTTAACCTAACTCTACTAACCCAGCTCTACCAACCTGCTGCTAAACTGTGTCCCTAAGCACCTTACCTGTAGGAATTTTAAGCACATTCTGGGACCGTGATTCAACCACTTCCCTGGGCAGCCCCTTCCACTGCTTGATAACCCTTTCTGTAAAGTTTTTCCTAACATCCAACCTAACCTCCCCTGGCATCACTTAGGGCCATTTCTTCTTGTTACTAGTGAGAAGAGACTGACACCCCCTCGTTACAAGCTCCTTGCGGGCAGATGTAGAGACTGATAAGGTCTCCCCTCAGTTTCCTCCTCTTCAGATTAAACATCCCCAGTCCCCTTAGCTGCTTCTCATCAGGTTTGTTTTCCAGACCCTTTGCCAAACCTTCCAGATCCTTTATTTGGGCTCAAACCCACCTTAAACTCACACGGAGGTGAAAGCTTCTCAGCTGGCACCTCCTTCCCCCTGTAACTCCGATCCCTCTGCCACAGGTGAAGCGGTTGTTTCCAAACACCAGATTGATTTTGATCTCATCTTGGAAAACGTGAAGGATTTGAATGTGCTGGCTGGGAAGAACACTTGTTACATTGAACACACCCCTGGGGGAGCTCGTTTGAGGCAGCCAGAGCCCCTCTCTCTCACACTGTATCAAAATGGGATCATCACATTCAGTGGAGCCTTTCGGCCCTACGAGGACCCATCCACCCAGGTATGGAAAGGTCTATGGAGGAATCAGAGTCACTAAACCTCTGGAAAGGGAATGTGTAGGAATAGGGCTGTGAGCTCATCTTAGTACAGAGATAACAGAGCAGCTGAGACCTCCAGCTTCTCACCTGCCTTCAAAGCCTGGCTTGTCTTTGTGCAGTCATTTGTAGGTCTTTTATGCCAACTTGTCTGCACAGCAATAACACAAACAGGAGCAGCCCAGAAGGAATGTATCAGTCCTGAGGTAAACAGAAGGCTGAGGTATGACCACAAGCTCTCAATTTTCTTTCAGCAATGCCTGCAGGATATTATGGATGGGTATTTCCCTTCAGAGTTGCAGACTCACTACCCAGATGGCATCCCTTTGCAGGTAAGAGTGCAAAACCCTCTTTATTCAGCTTTCCAGGAGAAATCGCTCCGTCGCTTCCCAAGAAAACTATTGACTATTCTTTCACCAACCTGCTGGATGTTCCCCACAGCAAATTAAGTTTGAGGTTTCTGAACACTGCATGCACACAGCTTCATTCTGTGTGTGTCTCAGGGAAAGGGTGGCTGGAGCACACCTGCCAGAGCCGTTACAGGAAGTGTAATTCACTGCCTCGGTGAATCTTGGCTTGGAACAAAACTTCTAAGAGCACAGCAGGCTCTGTAGAGGCAGTACCTGCAGTTATCTGCAGAGATGTGTAACAAAAAAAGGAGGGAAAATGTTCTTAAATAGCTCCCTGGGAAAAGCTTTTAACAACAGGTTGAACAAGGATCTCTCGAGGTGGGTGTCGGGAGAGTTTATTTTGCCACAATTTAAATGGATTTGGGCACCTGAGGTTGCTTTGGGTCCCACTTTTTTTTTGATTTCTCAGAAATGGCAAGAAGCCAAGGCCACGTTTTTCAGGCAGAGAACCTCAGAGGACTCTAATCTAGGTCTTCAGGTGCATCTGAAACGTAAGCAGGCACGACCAGAGGGGTGCACTGACCCACTGCCAGAAGAAAGCAGGGCACAACCACAGGGATAAGGCCAGGCAGGCAGGGAGCAAACAAGATGGAAGCAGGATTGCACAAGGCTCGTGGGGCTGTGCTTGCCTATAATCCATGCACAGTTGGCCAGGCCTGGAAGCCACAAGACAGTAATCTGGGATAAATCCAGACACACAGCACATCCACCTGTGATACAGGTGTTTCCCCATCACTTTCCACCCCAAAGGCATTTTAAAGCATGGAAGGAGACACAGAGAATGATCAGGTCCAAATGTTTCTCCCAACTCATGAAAAGGAGCAGCTGCCCAGTGCCTACTGAGATGGATTAACTCCTATTTTATGGGTCTAGGTGGGCCATCCCAAGGACTTGAGGGCCCTACCAAGATTTGCTTTGTTAGAGAGCCTAGAGGAGCTGAAAATGGATGTCAGGGAGTTTGGACAGCTGGAGCAGCTTCCAAGGAAGCAGCTCTCCTGGTTTCTTTTGGGGTTGACATCTCTTAGTTCTCATTGCTGTGGATGATTGTGCTCTGATGCAGTCAGAACAAGCTTGTGCAACAGTCTGATTTGCTTATGGCAGTTGGCCTTAATTCAACAGGTCACTGACAGAAGGGACATGGTATTTCAGGAGAGACACCTCCTTCCAGGGAGTTTTCCTGGCCAAGGCCAAGTGGTTGGCCGCTCAAAATCAAGTGAAGTGCAGGAAACCACTGAGATCCCAGGTAAATTCTTAAATCTGCCTCAAAAATGCCCAACTAACTTCCAAATAAGAGAATCAAAACCTTACCAGGGCAGTCCAGCTGGTAGGAGGGGGATGTGTAGGGTCTCAGCAAGGAAGGCAACACTTCTGGGCCAGAGCCCAGTTTTGCTTCAGGAGATGGGAGCCAGGCAGTCCACATGGTGTCTTCTCATCATTAAATCCTCCTACAGAATGAGACACAAGTTCTGAAAGACCAGAAAATCAGCAGGTTTCCAAAACCTCATCTGCCTTGTGCCTTTCTGAAAGGCCAAGCTCCTTCTAGCTTCATCTTGATCAGCACCAAAGGATGATGAGGGAACCCTGCAGATCTTATGGGGGGAGCAGCTTGCAAACAACCTTAGATTCTCCTACAAGCCCATTCCATAAAGGTGGACATCTTTGAGCCAGACAAAACTTAACTATACCAAATAGAGTAAGAGGAATCATTCCATAACAGGACCTGGGACTTAAAGTCAGGCCACAGATTCCTCATTTTGCTTCTAGACTCTAGTGGCCTGTGTTAAGCAACAGCTGTCAGGGTTGGAAAATCAAATGTAGTCAGTTCAAATAGTGGGTTTGTGTATAATTAAACAATCCCAACATGTGCATTGCCCCTCAGCAACATCTTCCTCTTTATATAAAACTGTGCAACTTGCTGGTTCGTCTCAAGGCCTTTCACAGACAGAAGCTGTGCTAAATGTTTCCTTTATCCATAAACATGATTGCCCAGTGACACCACAGGAAAAGCAACAGACACCTACAAATATACCCTCACGAGATTAAAAACTTTCCAAGTCTGTAAAAACTGTCCCAGTTTCTTTCTCCTGTTCAGTGCAGAGCTACCCAGGTTTTGTTGACCTGTCAAGCATCCCAGTTCTGTGCTGAGCAGGCTGCACAGTTGCTCACTGTTGATGTTGACAATCAAATATTTAGTGGGTCAGAAAGTGGGACAAGCTTCAGTGAAGATGTCTCAACCCTGCTGAGGGAGGTTAGAGCTCTCCCTGTTGGCTGTTCCACTTTTATTTTACCAAATCAGCCTATTCTAGGGGAAAACATTTTGGCAAAAAACTCGCACATGGACACACCTCCTCTCTGCTCTGGCAGGTCCCAAACTCCCTTTGGAGAAGTTTCTCAACAAGCTTTCTGAGTCCTCAGAACACAGTGGAGAAGCAATGAGTGTCCAAGATTCAGCCAGAGCAGCCCAGCAGGTATGAGCAGCCCCCCCCCGACACCCAGAGAGGCAGCCAGCAGATTCCTGGGGCTCAGTGCCCTGTGTAGCACCCCATTCTCTCAGCCTTCTCCACCCAGAGAGGCTCCACCAGGGCACTCATGGCACTTTGGCACCTGCTCCTGGCCTTTCCTGGCACCAGTTGCTCTCTGTGACTCACACCTGGTTTCGTTTCAGAGCTCTGATGGGGCACGAAGCAGCAAAGAGATCTTGGTGGAGACACCCAGGCTGGCTGCCCTGGAGAGGTACAGGCACAGCCCCTCCATCCCTGTCCCATCAGGCCCTCATCTTCCTCCTGTTTAATCACTGAGGGTTTATTTCAGGGGTTTCCTTTGAGGAAGTAAAGGAACTTGCCCCTTTTATCTTATACCTTAGAAAGAATTAGAAAAACCCACTAAGTTTAGTGAGCTTGCCACCTTTAACATCTCTAAGAAAATCTGTTCAAAATATTTACTTATTGCTGTGAAATACTTTTCCTGACAACAAGCCAAGGCCTAAGAGCTTGCAACCATCTAAAAAAGCTGTTTGTGGTTGTGTTAAATGGGAGAATTCCTCCAGGAAACTGATGCCCGAGTGGGAGGTCACACTATCTCCACTTTTCCACTCAGTCTTCTGACAAGACAAGACCCAAATAGCTAATAAAAAAACCCAAACCCAAGCAGATTATTTTTAATCAAAAAAGTAGGGCAAGGTACTTACCAGACAGCCCTGATCTAAAATGAAAGAGCTAAAAAAGGTCAGTAACCCTCTTTCCAAGGCACTTTTAAGTGAAAATTGGTCTGTGGGTTGGTCTGTTTGCCCACATGTCAGACGGGTCCTTGTTCATCTCAAGGACAGTCCCAACTATGAAATATTTTGGATCATCCTGGCAGCCCAGAGCCCCTGCCCGTTGAGTAGAGCTCACTGCCCTTGCTCCTCAGCTGACAGGACTTTTCTATCACCCAGGACAAAGCCAGCTGAAGAGGCTGAAGCTTCTGCCCCTGCTGCCTGCACGCTCCGCATCCGATCGGAGAGCGGGGAGCAGATCTACACCCTCAGGATGCTGGTCAAGGAGACCATAGGGGACCTGCGCCAGCACCTCGCCTGTGCCAGGTAGCCCAGGACTTCCTCACCCCCCACCCAGCTCCATCAAGCCCCAGAGAAAGTTTCTCAGCTGCCCTCAAGGCCCTGGATGGAGCTGAGCTCCCCCCCAGCAGCAGAGATGCTCACTGCCAGGGTCATGCTTTGTTCAGTATGTAACACCACCTTTGCCAAAAAGCTGACACAGCAGCAGAGATCGACCTCTTTTGTCCTCCCAAAATTGCCATCTGACCCAGGTTCATTACTGCCTTTGCCTCGCTCCAGCTCCAGCAGCTTTTATTGCCAGTGTTCCTAAAGTGCTGGTGCACCCTGGAAGCTGAGCTGCAGCCTTTAGCTTGGCTGATGAATCCACTGCTGGACAAACACCACCCTTTGCTCAGCCAGCTTTATGTGCCATCACATTTAATGCTGCCCAAAGGCTCACACATCCCTTTGGGGACACTTCCAGAAGGCTGAGGAGACCCCTTTGCTTTCCCCTCTCCTGTTGCAGGCAGAAGCTCTGGCCTTGGTCTGAGGCCACAATGAGCTCACTACTGGTGGGATGCAGGATCCTCCTTCCCCACAGCAGCTGCACAGCCTGGAATGTCCACTCTGTGCCTGCCTGGCTGCAGTTTGGGCAGGAAACCCTTTTTTTTCCTGCTCATCCTGGGCTTGTGAAACTCTCTCTCCCTCTGTTTTTACGTAACCACAGCTGGATCAGCCAGAGCATCCCAGCAAAACCTTGGGGGATCCTGTGTTTAGGAAAAATTGTGCTGTTCTTTCCTAGGGGTGGAGACTCTGACTCGTATGAGATCATCAGTACCTTTCCCCAGAGGGTGTACATGGACAACTCCAGGAGCCTGCAGGAATGTGGCCTGGTCCCCAGTGCCTCCTTGCTGCTGAGGAGAAGAGACCCCTCCCAGCAAGAGGAGGGGAACAGGGCTGCAAACAGCTTAACAGCTCCTAGCAAAAGCTGCTCCCCTCCAGCTCCACAAGAGGAAGAAGCTGCCTCACGTTTTTAGCTGTGTTGCAACCTCCCCAGGCTGAGAAGAGAGGAGGGAGGTGTCTTTCCCGATTTAGTTTCATTGCACTGTTACCTGGGACAAGGAGAACTGCTCAGGGGCAGGGGTTGGGCCTCTCCCTTTGCCCCCATT